GGCACTGGGATGAAGGATAAGAATAGAGTTGGCAGTTGGAGCGTGCAATAGTTGAAGTTATGAAGGGGTGGCAGTTTAGGTGACAAGTTCCAGGGTACACACACGAGCATTGGTGTCAGAGTAGAGAGAAGGACAAGAGCACTGACAGAGAAGAGGCCAAGTAACGGAAAGGCCAGGATTTGAAAATACCACTTCTGTGAATATGGAAATCACCAAGGACTGTGGCAGGAGTCATAGTGGAGAAGGTGGTCATGAGCCAGGAGCTAGACCCTTTAAGGAATAAGGGGAGAACACAGATGCTGGCAGATGCGTGTAAACAAGTAGTAAGGAGTGGCACATTGTGATAGCATGTGATGTAAGACTGAGGAACTGAATCTGCTGTTATCTTTTCCTCAGCCTATTCCAGTCTGGCTCCTTTCCCCATTAATCTGTTGAGAATAGCTTGGAAGGATGATCTTTGAAAGAATTATATTGCATGAATTAAAAAGTGACATGTTCAAAGTAGATATTTCTTGCAATAGAATTTTAGGAGATAACCTAATGGAATCTAATGGAAGAAAAAAATACTTGGCCTTTGGAAGAGTGCTCTTTTTCACCTAGTGAGGAAAGGAGCTAAGACTTGAGTAAGAGAAACAGTTGAAATAAGGCAGTATTCTGGAATGTTCGTGTGAGCTAAGACTATACGTCCTGAATGATACTAGTTTCCTGGACCAAATATAGGTGGGTCTCCATCGGTGAAGCTGCAGTTCATAATGAATAGCGTTTATGCATGGAGGAGAAAAGAGCTAACACACTTGCTGAAATACCTGTGACAATATCTTAAGCTCATCCTATTCCCTCTCTACAGCCTTTGGTATTTGGAGTTACTCTACCCTCCACACAACTCATTCCAAATCCGGCATCAGAAACAACTATTTCATGTTTCAACCATTCTGTATACCCAGAATACCTATCTTGGGAGTCACAGAATTCCAAAGGTCCATGGCTAGCACTGTATTTCAATGTAATCGACTTTCTTTATAAGCCCATGTGCTTTATTTTACGCATTAAAAATACAGCTCTGAGAAGGGATTCATCATTTTGTCCAGTCAGCCAAATGGCTATACATGAAAAGCAAAGATGTTAAGAAGCCCTGCATGGATGTGGTTCACATGTTTCCATTCTAGTCTTCCTTTTTGTTCTCCCTTGACAATCTCATCGATTCCTGTGATTCTATCTCCCATGAATTTCCTTTTTCAAATGTCCTCTCATTGTGCCTTTATAGAAGTCCAGTTTCATAGTCAACAAATTACCTGTCTATATCCCAACTTTTTCCTAAACATTCCCATGCCTCCTGGCCTTCACTAAACCCCATCTGCCCCATGCCCAAGTCTTTTCCAGCTAAATAACAACAACAACAAAAAAAACCTTTCAAAAACACCCTTGATAGTGCTACCCCACCCCTCTCCATTAGTTTCCTATTGTTACTGCAGCAAATTACCTCGTGGCTTAAAACAACACATTTTCTTTTTTTTTTTTTTTTAACAATTCCCAAGATCAGAAGTCCAAAATGAGTCTTACAGGGCTAAAATCAAGGTGTGGGCAGGAGTGGTTCCTTCTGAAAGTTCTAGTGGAAAGTCTGTTTCTTACCTCTACCAGCTTCTAGAGGTGGCCGGCATTCCTTGCTTGGCTCATGGCAGCAACACTCTGATCTCTGCTTTCATCATCACCTTCTGATCTATAACCTTCCTCTTACAAGGACTCCTGTGATTATATCAGGCCCACCTGGTTAACCCAGGATACTCTCCCCATTTTAATATTCTTAATTTAATCCATTCACAAAGTTGCTTTTGCCATATAAGGTAACACTCACAGGTTCTAGGGATTAGGATGTGAACATCTTTGAGGGGAAATTTTTCAGCCTACCACACACCCTACTGCTCTCATTCTTATTATTTTTTAAATTGACATGTAATAATCATACATATTTATGAGGGTACAACAAAAGAAACAATAGCATGAAAAGAAAACTTACAGATGGGAGAAATTATTTGCAAACCATACATCTGACAAGAGGTTAATATCCAGAATATAAAATGAAGTCAAACAATTCAATAGCAAAAAAAGGGGGGGAGTAAAGAAAATAAATAATAGGCAAAAGATCTGAATAGACCACTCAAAATAAGACATACAAATGGCCAATAGGTGTATACAGAAAAATGTTTGACATCACAAGTCGTTAGGGAGTTACAAATAAAAATCACAGTAAGATATCACCTCGTTGCAGTTAGAATGACCGTTTTTTAAAATTATAAAGATGTGGGGTACAATTCAGGGTTAAGTATACAAATGTTGATTATGCAGGTACTCTTGTTGAAGAGGTATGCCCCTCCATCCCCAAGCAGTTTCCCGAACTACCAATCCCACCCCTACCCCCAGTTTCCTACTACTGCCAATCCCTTTCTTATAGTATTATAATTGTTCAAGGTTCGCTTATGAGTGAAAACATGTGGTATACTTTGTTCTTTGTTTCTGTAACAGATCACTGAGTATGATCGACTTTAAATCCATCCAAGTTGCTGCAAAGTCCATATGTTTGTCCTTCTTTATGGCTGCATAATATTCCATTGTGTATATGTATCACATTTTTTTAATCCAGTCCAGCTTTGACGGGTAACATGGTTGCCCATGTTGGTTCCATGTTTTTGCTATCATGAACAGAGCTGCAACAAACATACGTATGCGGGCATCTTTTTGTAGAATGATTTGAGTGCCTTCGGGTATATTCCCAATGGGCAAATTGCTGGGTCATATCAATTTCTAGTTCTTTCAGAAATTGCCACACTGTCTTCCAAAGAGGATGCACTAGTTTGCGTTCCCACCAGTAGTGTAGATGCGTTCTTTTTTCTCTGCATCCTTGCCAGCATCTATTGTTGTTTGTTTTATTAATGATGGCCGTTCTTACTGGGGTTAGGTGGTGTCTCAATGTGGTTTTGATTTGCGTTTCTCTGATGATAAGTGAGGTTGAGTACTTTTCCATGTGTCTATTGACTGCCCGTATATCTTCTTCTGAGAAGTGTCTAATCATGTCTCTTGCCCACTTTTTAAGGGGGTTGTTTGTTTTTTCCTTTCGGTGCGTTTTTCCTTTCGGCGCTGTAGATCTTAGATGTTTGGCCTTTTTCAGATACACAATTGGCAAATATTTTTTACCCATTCTGTGGGCTGTCTCTCTGCTCCCTTGATGGTTTCTTTTGCTTTGCAGAAGTTCGTCAGTTTGATGAGGTTCCACTTGTCTATCTTATTTCTTAAGGTATGGGTATTTAGGGTTCTGAATAGGAATTGGTTGCCAGTTCCAATTTTCATAAGGGTGTCTCCTGTGTTTTCTAAGATTCTAATAGTTTGAGGTTTTATGTTTAGATCTCTGATCCATTTAGAGTTAATTTTTGTGTATGGTGATAGGTAGAGGTCCTGTTTTAATCTTCTGCATGTGATCAGTCAGTTTTCACAGCACCATTTACTGAATAGGTTCTCCTCTTCCCAGTGGTTGTTGTTGGAGGCTTTGTCAAAGATGAGTTGGTTGAGAAATTGAGGCTTTGCTTCCAGAATCTCTATCTTGTTCCATTGGTCTATGTTTCTGTTCTTGTACCAATACCAGGCTGTTTTGATTACTGTAGCCTTATAGTAAAGTTTGAAGTCCGGAAGTGTGATATCTCCTGCTTTGTTTCTTTTGCTAAGGATTATTTTGACTATTCGTGGTTGTTTATGTTTCCATATGAATTTATGTATTGTCATTTCCAGGTCTGAGAAGAATGATGTTGGTAACTTAATGGGTATTGCGTTAAATCTGTAGATTGCCTTTGGTAGGATGGAGATTTTAACAATGTTGATTCTTCCTATGCATGAGCATGGAATATTTTTCCATTTGTTTGTGTCTTCTTGGATTTCTTTGAGCAGTGTCTTGTAGTTCTCATTGTAAAGGTCATTTGCTTTTCTGGTTAGGAAGATGCCGAGGTGTGTGTGTGTGTGTGTGTGTGTGTGTGTGTGTGTGTGTGTGTGTGTGTGTGTCTATTGTGAATGGGATTATGCTTTTAATTTGGGTCTCTGCCTGTTTGTTGTTGGTGTATAGGAATGCAATTGTCTTTTGTACATTTATTTATTTATTTGCCAAAGTCCTTTATCAGTGCAAGCAGGTTGTTGACAGATTCTCTTGGATTTTTAAGGTATAGGATCATATCATCAGCAAAGAGGGATAACTTGACTTCCTCTTTTCCTATTTGGATACTCCTGATTTCCTTCTCTTGTCTAATTGCCTGAGCTAGGACTTCCAACACAACGCTAAACAAGAGGGATGAGAGTGGGCAGCATTGTCTTGTTCCAGTTTTCAGGGGAAATGTTTCCAGTTTCTGTCCATTTAGCAATATGTTAGCTGTGGTTTATCATAGATGGCACCTACTATTTTGAGGTATGTTCCTTCTATACCTAGGTGTTTGAGGGTTTTTATCAAGAAGGCATGCTGGATTTTATCAAAAGCTTTTTCTGCGTCTAATGATATAATCATGTGGTTCTTGTTTTTACATCTGTTGATGCATTTAACTACATTTGTGGTCTTGTGAATGTTGAACCAGCCCTGCATCCTGGGGATGAAACCTACTTGGTCATGGTGGATGATTTTTGAGATGTGTTTTTGGATCTGATTTGCTAGAATCTTATTGAGGAATTTTGCATCTGTGTTCATAAGGGATATTGGCCTGAAGTTGTCTTTTTTTTGTTTGATTTTTACCCGGTTTGGGTATCAGTGTGATGTTAGCTTCGTAAAATGATTTGGGGAGAATTCCATCCTTCTCAACTGAGAATGACCGTTCTTAAAAAGACAAAAAATAACAAGCTTTGGCAAGGATGTGGAAAAAGAATAATTATTTTATGCTGTTGGTAAGAAAGTAACTTAGTACAGCCACTATGGAAATTAGTATGGAGCTGTCGACGCTGCGCCGGGAAGGTGTCGCCGCTGCTCCTCCGAGTTGCAGGTATATTCCATCTACCACATCAGAAAAATGTCCTATGTTTTTGTAAATGATTCTTCTCAGACTAATGTGCCCTTGCTACAAGCCTGTATCGATGGAGATTTTAATTATTCCAAGAGGCTTTTGGAAAGTGGCTTTGACCCAAATATCCGTGACAGCAGGGGCAGAACAGGCCTTCACCTCGCAGCAGCCCGAGGGAATGTAGACATCTGTCAGTTACTGCATAAATTTGGTGCTGATCTTCTGGCAACAGATTATCAAGGAAACACAGCTCTTCACCTCTGTGGCCATGTGGATACGATTCAATTTCTAGTTTCCAATGGACTCAAAATTGATATTTGCAATCATCAAGGTGCTACCCCCTTAGTTCTGGCAAAGCACAGGGGAGTGAATAAAGATCTCATCCGATTGCTGGAATCTTTGGAAGAACAGGAGACAAAAGGACTTAACAGAGGAACCCACTCAAAACTGGAGATCATGCAGACAGCTGAGAGTGAAAGTGCCATGGAAAGCCATTCTTTCCTCAATCCCAACCTGCAGCAAGGCTTAGGCTTCCTTTCCAGTTTTCGAACCACATGGCAGGAGTTTATGGAGGATTTGGGCTTCTGGAGGGTGTTGCTCTTGATCTTTGTCACCGCTCTGCTGTCTCTTGGCATTGCCTACTATGTGAGTGGGGTGCTGCCATTCGTGGAAAACCAGCCTGAACTGGTACATTAAGGGAGCTCATGGGCGATGAGGCAGTTGCCCGTTTCCTGGCTTCAAGTACTTTTTCTCAGTTTCTCAAAATTCTTAGTGCAAGGCAGTGAGGGCTGTACATTTTTCTTTTTGCCTTTGTACTTATTGTAATCCTTTTAGATAATGGTGTGTCCATTTGAACTAACTACATACTATAATCAAGTATACTGCATCCTGACGCTACCTCTGACTCAACCTGACTTCGTAGGAAAACCTACACATAGCCTTGTTTGACAAAATCACGGAAATGACTAGAGGATGGAAGACAGGCGGGTATGGTGGCTCACACCTATAATCCCAGCATAGTGGGAGGCCAAGGCAGGAGAATCACTTGAGGCCAGGAGTTCAAGACCGGCCTGGGCAACATAGTAAGACCCTCTTTCTATTTTAAAGGAGAGAGAGAGAGAATGGAAGACAAAGGAAAAGGCTAGGAACTCCTTTGCTGTCAAAACCTTACTCTGATCTAGAACCAACTGAAATATTCAGAAAGAACAAGGGTTACCTACATGATTAATTTTCGTTGGTGGTTTTGGTTTTGCTTTTATTTATTTAAGTAAGAGCCCCTTTTCTCTTCTTATTTGCTTTCTTTAGGGACAGGGGAAAGCTTAAAACTTGAAGTAATTTTTCACATCTTGTGTAGCAAATTTGTATTGTTAGAATCTGTTTGATTTGTTGTAATATTTTCAGATCTAGTCACAAACTAAACAAAACTTTTGAAAATAAGCTATATTTTCTTCAAAAATGATTGATTTGATCTTATATTTATTTGTTTTTAGAATAATTTTGATTTTTTTTGTAAACTGCTTTCCTCAATATCTGTGAAAAATAAACCTGAGGAGTTCATTTTTCAAGTTCCCCTAGTGTTTATTTTAAAGGTATCCTGTTAATCAAAATTGCAGTCAGAAGAACTTTTTTTCTACTGAATAGTTAGCAGGGAAAAGTAATTCTATTTAACTGTCACATAATTCTGTAGTGCTATTATTATAGTGAAAAACTCAGTTCTATAAATTGGCTGTGTTGTCACAGTTGTATCATAGTTCATAATTATTTCATGTGCAATGAGGCCCTGGTAGGCTTTTCATAACAATCCCGTCCTTATCAGTAATTCTCTGATGACAAGAGCGGGTGGACTGTTTCCATGTTAACAGCACAGAGCACTATTGTACTGGGTGTCATAAACTCTTACGAATGGCAATATTATGTAAATTGAAATCTGGCCTCCAAAGCTACATTGCAGCTTTCAGCAGTATGTTTCAGGGCCTCTTTTGTTAATGATTCTGTAATGTATAAATCATATTATTGGGTTATTAAAAAAATATGAAGGCTTGATAATTATTCATTGGGTACAGTTAGAAAGTTGTAGTGAAAGAACCAATGATTTTATTTTTTAGAACAAAAGCATCTAAGCTACTGCTAGTTGAATTGTTGCTAGAATTAGAAATTACAGTTTAGAATAGAAGTGGTATTTCTGTGATTCTTTTTCCTTCTTGATGTTTTCTCTTTTGTATTTATATATCTGGTATTGAGACTTTTTCTTTCATGTGGCTTTCTCCTCTCTTAAAGACTGTTTTAAAATTCCTAATTAATTGACTGCTTCAGGATCAACTTGCAGAGTCTTGCTCTTGGGTAAGATAACAAACAAAATAAAGCATACTTGGTGTAAATATAGCAAAAGCTGCTGACTTTAGACTGGAGAACACTAGAATTCAAATTTGCAGTATTCAGAATGAAAGCTGTGGGATTAACTTTACATTTGTTTGTAAATCTAAACGGATATGTAAAATTGGTCAATATACATGTAAATATATTGCATTTTTAAAGAATTAATGTTTCCTTTTAAGTGATTTCTTTGTATTCTGTTCTCTGCCTTCATCATTCGGTAATACCACCAATAAATGTATTTATGACTCCCTTAAAAAAAAAAAAAAAAGAAATTCGTATGGAGAGTTTGTAAAACACTAAAAATAAAACTACAATAGATCCAGCAATCCCATTACTGGGTATACAATACCCCAAAGAAATGAACTCAATATGACGAAGAGATATCTTGCACTCCCATAGTCATTGCAGCACTATTTACAATAGCCAAGATATGAAATCAACCCAAATGTTTATCAACAGATGCACAGATAAAGACAAACGTGGTATATATTCACAATGGAATATTATTCAGCCATGATGAAGAATAGAATCCTGTCATTTGTAGCAGCATGCATAAACCTGGAGGACATTATATTAAGTGAAGTGAGCCAGGCACAGAAAGACAAACACAGCATAATATCACTCAATTGTGAAATCTAAAAATGCTGACCTAGTGAAAGTAGAAAATAGAACAGCAGTTACCAGAGAATGGGAAGGGGAGAGGGAAAGAGATTGGTTAATGGGTACAGGGTCACACAGTTAGATAGCAATAAATTCATCCTCGAATTTTTTTCTTTCTTTTTTGAGTCTGGATCTCACTCTATTGCCCAGACTGGCACGTGCAGTGATACACTCACAACTTATTGAAGTCTCAACCTCCTGGGCTCAAGCAGTCCTCTTGGATTGGCCTCCCAAAGTGCTTGGGATTACAGTTGTGAGCTACCCTGCAGGTCTCATCCTTAAATTTTTAACCCCCTGCCCTAAATTTGTCACTCTCCTATATTTGTTATTTTTATAAGTAGCACAATCATTCACTCTTAATCCTGGACTTACTCATGATTCCTTTCTTTTTCTCACCAACTTTAAGAAAGAAATCCAGACCGGGCTGGGTGGCTCAGCCTGTCATCCAAATACTTTGGGAGGCACAAGGTAAATGGATTGCCTGAGACTGCGGGTTCGAGACCAGTCCGGGCAATTTGGCGAGACCTCCTCTCTACAATAAATCAAAAAGTAGCACGCGTGGTAGCACACACCTGTAGTTCCAGCTACTTGGAAGGCTGAGGTTGAAGGATCGCCAGAGCCCAGCAGGTAAACGCTGGGGTGACCCTGAGCGTGCCACTGCACTCCAGCCTGAGCGACAGAGTGAGACTCCGACTCAAAAAAAAAAAAAGAAAAGAAAAAAGGGAAAAAAAGAAAGAAACCCAAATCCAACGCATGAGCAAATACTGTTCATTCCATCTCCAATATCTTTGTTAATCATTCACTTTAGCCACCAAGTCAGGGCTGCCATCAAATCTTACTTGTAAGATGGCAAAACCCTCCGTAATGGTCTCCCCATGTATTATTGCCCTAAACTAATCTAGTCTCCATACTGCACAAAGAATATTTTGAAAATGTAAATCTGATTGTCACTTCCTTTTTAAAAATCTTTACAGTGGCGTGGCATATCTTAGCGCAAGACAAGGAAATCCGTCCTTCATAGACCCTGCATCCTGCACACATCGCCTGAAATTGTCCTTCCACACAGAGAGCAGGCGTTTCACAAGCTGACCTGCCCACACGGATTCCTGCAAAGAGGAAAGGTTCAGCCGGGCTGTGTGGGCGCGGAGCTGTGGCCATCCCCCGCCTTTGTCTGGGAGCGAAATTCCCCGCGCGGAACCGGCCAGGGAGCCGAAGCTTCGCCCTGAAGCCTTGCCACGCTTTGCTGCCTGTACCTGCGTCCCCAAGGTGGGCCCGGGGAGCGAAACCCGTCAGAAACGGATGCTACTAGGGCGTAAACAAGACCTCGCCCAGTAAAGGGAAGCTGCGGTCAAAAGCTTTTTGCCCGGAACCCCGCAGCCCTCCCCGGACCCTGGGCGCGGATGCCGGCGCTTGGTCTCTTTTGCTTTGGCCGCGCTTCCTTCGACGTTCTCCGAGATCAACTCCGGTGTCGAGGTGTGCTTGGGGAGGATGGGAGCCTCCTCTCCGAGGAGCCCGGAGCCCGCGCGGCCGTCGGCGCCCCCCGCCCCCTCGTGCTGCGGAGGAGCCCTGCTGGCGGTGCTGGTGCTGCTCGCGCTGCCGGCGGCCTGGGGTGAGACGCGGGGCGGGCGGGGAGCGCCGGGAGCCGGGCTCCAGCCATCGCCGCGGGTGGGCCGAGCGCGCGAGGAGGCGGGCCGGGTCTGGGTCCTTCTGGGTGCTGGAGACCCTCGCTGCCTCTGGGAGCCCGCGGAGACCGCTGGCCAGGTGTCTGTGCCGTGCCCGGCGCAGAGAAAGGCACAGGTGCTGATCCGGGCGCCGCTCGGAATTCGTTGCCTTCCTGTGCTCATAGTCTGGACTGGCTGTAGCGGAGCGCGACACCGATCGTGGTGAAAGCAAGCGGGGTTGGGAATCAATCCCACGAGCCTGGGTTCTAATCCTAGAAACGTAACGGTGAGGAAAGTGAGCACACCGGTCCGAATCTGTTTCTTCCTCGGTAAAACGGGGATACTGACCCATCATGGTGCTGCTACCTAAATGGCATGAAGCGTGTGGAGTGTCGAACACAAGACCTGACACTGACTCGATGTCCGTCCCAGCCTTTACCTTTGCTCTTGGCTCCCAAGGGTATTTAGACGAGCAGTCCTAGGATTGCAGGGACTGTACCCACCCTAATGCCAAACCACCGCCACCGTCATCACCACGCGCTTAATTGAGAACTTGAATACAGGTCCGTGCCGGGCCCCGGGGGGCTGGAAGAGCAAGCGAAGAGTCAGAATGCTCCATGTGACTAGCCAGTTGCAGGCTGAAGGGACAGTAGGCATGCTTAGCACAAAACAAAGCCTATTATAAGTATTATGGAAATGTTGAGGCCGTCGCTTCCTTTGTCTTCATTTCAGCTAGGTAAGCACGCTCAGTGAGAACCGTTCTCTCCTTAGTTTTGGCTTCCCCCAGACGCCTTCTTGGTTGTTTGGGCTCTTAGGCCATGTCTCTGTTGAAGTAACAACCTTGATTATTTTTGTCCGGTCTCTTCCTGACAACTCAGAGTTTGCTCTTCGCCACCACTAGACATTTTGCACTCATGGTTTGATTTGTTCCTTCTCTTCTAAGAGAGTAAGGGAAAAAGAAAACTAAGTTTCCACAAAAGCTGTTATTAATGTTTTATCTCCTTAGACATCAGAAAGTAACATGTCAAGTGAAAAGATGTGATAAAACTTAACATTTTATTTTTAGAAGAGCAGCATGCCAAGAAAATTAAGCAATCTGTTATCGATGCTCAGAGATTTTTGTCAGACGTGTGAGTATCCTTCCCCTTTTTGCTGGAATGCTGTTATAGTTTGCCCGTGTTTATTAAGGTACTGTTGTAAGCAATCCCAGACACTATTAATTGTAAAAAAAAAAAAAAAATTTTTTTAATTTAATGAGGTTATCACAATAACCTCCCAATGTGAACTAGCCTAAACTAAGCTATCTAGCAATTTAGTTGCTGGAGTAATTTAAGGTTTGAAAATGCTGATGAGATGCCCCCAGTGTGCCTGGTCCTTTGGAATTTATAAGTATACAAGAGAGCTAGGCATCCAAGTTGTATGCATATAGAAGTTGGTGTTGGGGTTTTATGAAATCTACTTCATTAGGAAGGTAGGGTTATGGTTTTTCCAGACGCTGCTGCAATCCATTCACATCTCTGACCTTCAGTGTCCACATGTTTAAAATGGCATCCTACTCTGAGAGGGTTATTGTGAAAATCAGAAGAAGTAGTGTGTGTGATCACGTTTTGTAATCTGAAAACCCCCATACATATCTAAGAAACCATGACTAAGAAGTCAAGCAAGACTACAGGATCCCTGAAAAGGTAGAAATCTCAGCGCTAAAGACCAGAAAAGGCTGAGTGGAAGGAGCATGACTTCAGTAGAACTTAAAAAATGATTCCAAAAACAAGTTGTACAAGATGGTTCATAGGAATTTAATTTTTATATAAAAACCAACAGTGGAATTAGAGTTATTTTGTTATTACAAAGTATTCACACTATCCATGAAGTGGTATAGTGCCATTTGAAAGTGAATTTGGATTAATTGTAAATATATACTGCAAACCCTATGGCAATCACTGAAAGAAGTGAAAAAGAAGCATAACTGATATGCTAATAAAGGGGGAAAAATTGAATAATATACATATTATAATTATATAATGCTCAATTAAAACCATAAAGGGCAGAAAAAAGTGGAAGACAAAAATAGGAACAAAGAACAAAGGCAACAATTAGAAACCGATAACAAATATTAAACCAATTATATCAGTATTCACTTTGAACATCAATGATCTAAATGTACCAATTAAAACACAGAGAATGCCAGAGTAAATCAAGAAACAAGACCCAGTTACATTATTGTTTATAAGCCCACTTTAAATAGAAACACATATACTAGAAGTAAATGGGTAGATAAAGATATACCATGCTAACACTAGTCAAAAAAGAAAAAAACAGGAGTAGCTATTAATTTCAGACTGGACTTCAGACCAAGGAAAAGGATAAAGAAGAAAATTACTTAATGATAAAGGGCCCAATTCTCCAAGAACACATAAAAATCCTTAACATGCATGCAGTTAATGACAGGGAATCAAAATATATGAAGCAAAAACTGATGAAACTGCAAGGAGAAATGATGAATAGATTACTGTAGTTGGAGACAGATTTTAGCACCCCTCCATCAGAAGGGAGCAGATCCAGAAGGCAGTAAGGACACAGTTGAACTCAGCAGCACCATCAGTCAACTGGATATAGCTGACATATATAGACTGACATATATAGAGAACTGCAGAATATACATTCTTCTCAGGCTCACATTCGGGGAGATAGATCACATTTGGAGCCATAAAAACACACTAATTTAAACTTCACCAGGGCAGTGTTTAATATAGGGTGGACTCTGGCGCCCTCATCTGGTCCTCGAGTAGAGTCTGGTTGGGTTTTCCCTGCTAGGTAAAGATGCATGGTAGAAAGGGAGTTCCAATTTGCTTTCAGTGCTTTGCAATGAATTTCAGCTTATGTATGCACAGATAAGTGGATTTGTGGTTTATATTCTCTATTGCTACCTAAAGTAAACATCACATTTGTAAATGTAACTTCAAAAGTGTCCTGCACAGAAATACTGAGCGAAGATAATTGTAATAAGGACAACTCCAGCAAACATAAAAATGGCAGAACTGACAATCCCCCATCTCACAAAGATACATGCTTTTGTTAGAACCATTAAGAGGAAGAAATGCTGTAAGTTTAATCTCAGCTGACCAAAAATGGACAAAAACAAAGAAAATCTGGAAAGTATCAAGAAGACTAGTTGAAATATAGCTTTACAGAGAAACTCACTGTGACTATATGTTGTCTGTTTAGATATTAGCTAATGAATGTGCTAAGCCATCATGATTAGCAAATCATTTAAAATGTTCATTTCACCTGTATCACAGTTCAAACATTTCTATTTAGGCATAAAATTTATATAATATATAATGTATCACTTTGTCATTGAAAGTGCATGTTCTTTTTTTTTTAACTGATAGAGACTTAAGCAAAGCAAGTGCAGGTTCCTTGTTTAAAGAGTAAATATGCAGAATGGGGATCAGAGTGTGCTTCAAATATGACAGCTCATATTTGAACAGACATGGATGTAATTTTATGTTACTTGAGCACATAGCACAGGATAAGTCAACCGGCCTTAAAAATGGAAGGTTTGAATCCCGCGCCTTTGGGAGGCTGAAGTGAGTGGATTGCCTGAGCCCGCGGGTTCGAGACCCGCCTGGGCAGTGAGACCTCATCTCTACAATAAATAAAAAAATCAGCCGGGCGTGGTAGCGCATGCCTGTAATTCCAGCTACTTGAAAGGCTGAGGCGGAAGGATCGCCGGAGCCCAGCAGGTGAGGTTGCAGTGGCCGGGAGCGGCCACTGCACTCCAGTCTGGGCAACAGAGTAAGACTCCAACTCAAAAAAAAAAAAAAAAAAAAAAAAATGGAAGGTTTGAATCAGGAGTACATGAAAGTGACCTGAGTCATCCAAGACGAAATCACAATAAGATAATAATATACACCCACTAGAATGACTAAAGTCAAAGATTGACCATGCAAGTACTGACAATGAGGTGAAGTAACTGGAATTATAATACACTGCTAATGGGCTGGTAAAATGAAAACAATCACTTTGGAAAACAGTTTGGAAGTTTCTTAAAAAGTTAGACACACATCTATTACCTGACTCAGCATTTTACTCCTAGGTTTTTACCCAAGAGCAAAGAAACCAAATGTCCATGCAAAGACTTGTTCATGAATTTTCTTTTTTTTTAAATTTAAATTTTATTTTAAAGACATGGGGTACAATTCAGGGTTAAGTATACAAATGTTCATTTTGCAGGTACCCTTGTTGATGAGGTGTGCCCCCACTCCCCTAGCAGAATCCCACTACTGCCAATTCTACCTACCCCCAGCAATTTCCCACTACTGAGAATCCTTTCCTTATAGTATTATGATAATTATTCAAGGTCCACTTGAGTGGGAACATGTGATACTCAGTTCTTTGTTTCTGTGATAGATCACTCAGTATTATAGACTCTAAGTCCATCCAAGTTGTTGTGAAGTTCATAATTTTGTCCTTCATTATGGCTGTGTAATATTCCATCGTGTATATGTACCACAATTTTTTAATCCAGTCCTCTTTCAGTGGGCAGTACAGTTGGCTCCATGTTCTTGCTATTGTGAACAATGCTGCAATAAACATGCCTGTACTGGTATCTTTTTCACAGAGTGATTTGAGTTCCTCTAGGTATATTCCCAGTAGAAGGATTGTGGTATCGTATGGAAGGTCGATTTTTAGACCTTTTAGGAAGTGCCAAACTATTTTTACATTCTCACCAACAGGGTAGAAGTGTTCCCTTTTTGCCGCATCCTCTCCAGTATCTGTTGTTTTTTGAGTTATTGATGATGGCCGTCCTGATTGGAGTTAGGTGGTATCTCAGTGTAGTTTTAATTTGCATTTCTTTGGGGACTAGTGAGGCTGAGAGTTTTTTCATGTACCTGTTGGCTGCTCATATGTCTTTTTTTGAGAAGTGCCTATTCATATCTTTTGC